TTGTGTGAAGATAGTTGGAGGGCTGGAGAGTGACATAGGCTATTACATTATAATACAATCCAAAAACTTTTTTTGATTTTTTTACTTGATTTTAGAATTACTTGAAACTCGGCATTAATGTTCTTCAATAAAATTAAATAAATACGTGTTTAGAATTTTTCGAAATTCATTGTATAAGGGGGTAAAATAGGGTATCAAAGTATGTATCAACTACCTTCTTAGAGATTTTTTTGAAGTTTTAGTACGAGCGAAGCCGCGGGTTCTGCTAGTATTCTTTATTAGAGATTTTCTTATAGAAAGTATATAAACTATTTTTTCCAATTTATAATGGAGTTCGTTTGGGATATTAGGTAATTGTAGTAAGATACTAAAAAATACGTATTGTATGGCTTACGCCTGAGATAACTAAAGCTGTGTCGTTTAATGTACCATATCATCTATTGATGATAAAAACATTAAAGCAATTGATAACACTGACTTCTAAAATTAACTTAAATATTATAAAACTGAATAAAAAATGACCTGAGCATTTCAAAATATTATATATACAAGTATAGTAGTTAGTTATGTAACCTAATTAACTATTACTCATACTCGAAGTGAAACTGTGCACAAAGCTTGACAGAGCTTCTGCTCTAGTACTTATTAAGGAAACGTATGCTTGTTAGGGAAACGCGATACATAATATTAAAACGTATAATAAGAGAGGTAGCGTAACATTTGACCTAGCCGTTTCATACCGATTGAAATTCATAACAATAATAGTTTTCTTATATTACTTTGCAGCTCTGAGCGTCAGCTTTTTAGTAGCTGTGGAGCGACAGCATATTAAAGTTTTTGACTGAAAATTTAGCTTGTCATGAGATAATTTTCAGCTCCTTTTTAACTAAAAATAATTATTGAACGAAGGAGGTCGTCAGTTGCAATACGTATATGAACTGTATTGAAATCATATTATTTTTAAGTACAGTATCATTTTAAACTTTTTAAATAATAAATAACATTGTCAGTCACACTCAGTATAGTAAGCATACAGCGCGCAGTACACCTATATCAGAGGTATGATAACTGATGCTTACTTTGCTAATTTTATTGAACATAAAACAGGTTTTTAATATAAATTTCACTTGTTATTCTCGAAAAAAATTACGCTACCTCCCCCTAACTAGTGTCAACTTAAACCTTCTGAGATACTTGAATTATTATAAATGTTTAGGAATGTTTAGGAAAAAATCCACAGATTTTGTGTCTGCCACGATCTTCGGGAAAATTTACTAAATGGGTAATATAGTAAAATTATTAATCTAACTCTAAAACTATTACAATTTTTTACGAGCTAAGACGCATTCATTGTACAAGCGAATCACCTAGTCCAAAAACACATGATCATGCTCTAAACATTTATTCACCGTCATTATCGCGCTCACGCGCTCTCCGCGCGTAAACTCCGCGACACAAAGATACAACTTCTGAATAACCCATAAGTGATCGCACCTCCAGTATTTTTTTAAATGTAGCCCAAAGTCATATCTCTTGATTTTTTTTAAATTTATGATATCTCCTTTTATTTTCAAGATATGATTTTTTTTCTGACCAAAACCGTGCGAAAAATGATCGCATTTTTCAATTTTTTTCGATTAAAAAAAAGTTTTTGAGTATTTTCAATTTTTTGCATTTTTTAGCCCTAGTCAAAACGCCACTTAGTCCCAAGCCCCACAACACCAGGGAGATGTCGCACTTTCGCTGAAAATCGGGCCTTTACCTAAGCGACAAAAATATTTTCAATGTTAAAATATATGTTTATTTTATAATCCAAATTTCAAGATTTTCTAACCAATTAATTCGGTAAATTATTGTGACAAGCAATTCCTTTTACGTGGGATGAACGGACCAAAGGAAAATTAAATTTCTTAGAACGTATAATCTGTAAGCTTTTCTAAAATGCTCATATTACACAATTACTTTGAAATTTTCAAATAAACCTGAATTTTAATCCAATATTGGCTAAGTTATCTATACAGTGTATGTTATAATAAAATAGTAATCAAGCGTAATCTGTACGTGAAATATTTTGAAAACAATGAATGTAAGGTATTGTGTACACAATATACCTCAAAACAATAGTTATTGTAATTTTTGTTTATATGAATATGTTATCTGTATGTTTCTGTTTGTTTATATATGTGTGGAAGTTTTAACTAACCAACTTTAACCAAATTTTGTGTAGATATCTTATTACTCGGGTCAACGTTTCGGACACCTTTTACTGAAAATACTCTGGTTGATATTGTAATATAATATTATTCTTGACATTGAAAAATAAGACATTGAATAATTACATCTGGAAGAATATGCCAAAAAGCTAAAAACATAAATGACAATAAAAAAGGGCCATAAGGAGTAAAATAATAAAATAATACCCGTATGAACTTTTTTTACGTTCATTATTCATTATGCCAAAGATTCTAAATTTCGCGCAGGGTGTCATAATTCTTACCCCCTACATACAAATTTTACCTCTTTGCAATATTAGTGTAAATGTAGGTATAGGGCTAAATTAAAGGCCGGGAAAAAGTCTCCTATGTTCTTGTTCAAAGCGTGGTTAATTTATGTGGGATGTTTCTTCTAAATGTTTAATTAAAATTAAACTCTAACCAGAAGTTTAAAAGAAAAGCAGAATAAAATTCTAAAGCTCTACTAACAAAATATATACGCGGAAAAACTTTCCCCAATTGTTTTACTACTCTTCTATATTAAATGTATCCGTACTAGTTTTTGTTACTATAATAACTTATCCAAGATCCAAAATCCTAGTGATTTTCCTAAATAAACCCTTCAATAAAAATGTTTCCAATACTTCATACTTTTCATGGAAATTAAATAAATAAGAGCATATAGATACTTGTAGGAGTAGAAGGGAAAGCGAGCAAAATTCATTTAAAAGTTTACCTCTGCCCATCAATCAAAACCCAATCTAAATTGGACAACGTTCCCGTTTGTTGGACACTTTAAAAAAAAAGTGGTAAGCAGTTAACTCTCGTTAATGACTTGTTATATTTCGTATAATTAACGCATTCATCGATATTATTAGTACTTATTTATAAGTCAAGGAAAATATAATTTTAGTAATTTATTGTACTTCAATATAAATTACCTGTATTAATCCTGTAAAAGCTGCCTTCAAACAATTTCACTACATTATACGCCCACTAACGATTTCGAGCATGTTTAGGCTATTTGAACGATTGCTACCGGTTTTAGCCACTTATATCAAATATTAACATTGAAAAGGCTTTGTGTCTTTGGAGTCCCATTTCGTGAGCTGCTTTAACGAACGTAGCTAAGAAAATTAATTGGCAAAATACCTAGGGGTAAAATTGAAAGGCGGTGAAATCTGAATTGGTATGTTGCTACTATACAAATAGAAACGTCTGTCGCTATTATGGTATTTAAGAGCACCAAGTTAAGGTCTATAGACTTAAGCCTCTAAGTATACCCGTACGAAGCAAATCTCTTTATAGTATTTGTGTAGGGTTTCTACTTCATAGTACTTGGTAGTTATAGATTGGAAGTAAATTAGTAGTATATCTGCCAATATATTTAAGAACTATACAATAATGCTATATATCAATAACTATTTGGTTAATTTAATGTGAGATAAGTAAAAATAAGTAAAAAATACGTGCTGAAGTTACATATATGCATGATTTTTATTGACGGAAAAGTTCTTTTATGTTTTGTTTTTGTGTATATTTTATTTTATATAATAATGTATAATACTTACATATAGAACTAGCGGCTCACCCTCGCTTCACTCGGTAGGTACGTTTCACACTCGTCCGTCGCTAGGTACGTTTTAAATAGATATAAATAGTTATTAGCCAGCGTTAGCGTTATAATTTTTTCTTTTTTTTATTGTTAATAAAATTAACAAATATTGCCATTAATATTTATTCGATACTAACGTCACTCAATTTTTTTGCCTTTCCGGAACCTCTCCACTAACACTTAAACTTTATGGTATGGTATTAAAGTTCAAATTGACTTTTAAGTATTATTACGAATCTTTTCTATGGGAGTATAGAAAAGTGTTGTTTTTAGACTTTTTCAAGTATATTTTTTTTAATTTTTCCTCCGTAAGAACCATCCTCGTACTTTAAGGAATATTCTAAAAAAGAATTAGCAAAATCGGTTCAGCTGCTCTCGAGATTTGCGCTTACCAGCAGATTCAGCGCTTCATTTTTATATTACAGATATATGTAGTTTAAAAATAGGATAATAATCAACAAATTTTAATATTGGAATTTTGTAATACACATTGTATTTTTACTTTACGGAAAACAAAACTTAAAGTCTGCATATTACCAATATTATTCTATATATAATAATACCAAATATACGAAAATATGTTAAGTTATAATACGAATTACTCTAAACTCAGTAATCGCATGAAAAATGATACACGCCATCTATAGCCTCGCCGTAGAAACTCTTTAATACAAAGAATAATACATATGTACCTAGAAGAAGATCCCGCCATCTATCGGTACTACGCAATACTATATAGAGGCATGAAAAGCTCTTTTAAAGTTGATCACGGAAGCTTTTCGCTTTGTGTCGCTACAAGCAACTTTCTGTCTGAAAAAAGTAAAACTGGTCCTAAGTAATTGTTTATTATTGCCTAATAAGTCAAAATATGATAAATATTTTCGAATAGCAACTTTAAAAAACAAAAATATGAAAATTAATATGGCATGTAAAAAAATATACACCAAATTTGGCAAATTTTACCCATTTACTTTAAATACATTTTTCTACATTATTATCATTTCTGAAAGTAATATGTTCACAACATAAATTAGTTTATAGGACACAGACTTTACATTTACACTACACTGATCAATCTAATACCTCATATTGTTTCAGATTTACAAAGTGTTTGATGTGATATATGTCGAATTACCCTGAACTAGCTCCGCCCCCATGCCTCGGCTTTCGACATGCAATCCCCTTCACCTCGTCTACGCCACTACAGGTTCCCCGAATATTCCTAGCATGATAACGTCCATTGTGCTAGCTTTAATTTTATAAGAAGAATAGATCTAGAAAGTTTTATCTCAAAATACTTTTGAAAATGTTTATTGAAATGAAAATGTTATTACTTTGTGAATAAAAAGAATAGTTCATTTAGATTTATTCTTGAGGGAGTATATATAATAAATAGTTTAAACGAGCTTTTCATTATTATTTTGTAATATTAAATTAAAGATTTTAAAACTTATTTTTTGAGATGCTCGTAAAAATTATTGTTATCATTATTTACCCAAATATCCTAAAATTGGCCATTCCAAAGCTAAGGTAGTACATAAATTTGCAGCATGAATTTTGCATGTGTGTGCTTCCGTTTTATAAGTATTGCTTATCAACCTCGGTAGTTTTTTATCCGCCACAACATCCTTTATTACGTTGCCTGTAAGAAAAGAAGATATCTATGAGAAGTAAAAAGATATATTTGTATAATATGTAAAAAAATGAAAAATATCAAATAATAGTATATTAGAATATACAGAATATAATCAACATCAAATAAATACGTCTAATCAACGTAGGTTTGTGGTCAAGTATTCCTCAACAATGTAAGTATAAATTAGACATAATAGCTCTGTATTTAAAATGTAGTTTGCATTATATACTTAAAAATACATGGCATTTTTAATCAATATTTTATATATTTTATTCTAAATGGTAGTTTAAAAAAGTTACACTATTAGCCAGCCACTTGACATACTCATAGTGCTTGTGCCAATTACATCACGATATCATCGTAAGACTCAGCCTAAGAAAAATTAAGCTCACGATGAATTTCCTCTTTCAAAGAAAAAAATTAAAGATAACTTAAAGATAAAATGTTGGATAATATTGTGTCTGTAAAATAATTGTAAATACAAGTTTGTTGTAAAATATCAAATAAGATCAAATACGTAACTTATAAAACTTAATAATACGTAAAACTTATAGTTTAAAAAGTTTCTCTTTGATCATACAATGATAAATATATAATACGATAAGTACCAAATACAAATATTCCTCATATACTCGTAATAGAGCACAAAAGCTTATTTCACATCGGTAGTTAAAATTCAATAATATTAAGAAACTTAGTGATTGTAGTACACTATAAGATGGTATAAGTAGATCTAACATCTTACACAATACTGGGAAGTAGTTGTAGTAAGTATAATACGCTTAATATTGTCACGTGAGTATGCTACTCTTCTTGAAAGCTTTATTACAAAGTAGACATTTTTGCTATCTGAATTATTAAATCATTATTATAAATTATATTTAAAAACATCTCTCAATGTCAATTAAAACATCAATCTTTCAAGAAGGTAGCCGAACTTCATTACCTAAACTTTGTTTAATTTACAAACACTTGAAACTCATTGAACAGATAATTTCGAACCGATTGAACACATTCAAAGTTTCCATCTCGTCAAATATTGGTACAACTTCATGCAATGCCAAATCGTTCTTCGACGCTTCAAGGGCGTAACGCATTCAGGCGAATAGCCAATAGATAGGCTTATCAACACATCACGTACCGCCTGACGACACAATAATGTCACTTTATTATCAATCATACCAATATCCTACGATAAATTTATATAATTAAGTCTCCGGATATAACAACAACAAATAATCGTTAAAAGCGCTATCAATAAATATACGCTCGATGTAATTTTCGACAGTATTAGATATTATAATCATTTGATTATTCTTTTAAATGTTATATTTGTCTTCATTTCTTAATTTTATTTCACAATTTACACTGCAAACGGCGCTTAAATAATTTGATAATATTCATAAAGTTTTAGGACGTGTGTGTAGATAGGAGAAAATATTTGAATATCTCATCAATAGTTTATTGGTACAATACATATGTCGTCACGCATGGGAGCGGTTATTACTTAATATCGCGCCGCTTGTTCAGTTATCAGTCCGGTGATGCGAAAACAAGGGCGTGATATGCGCCTTTACGCTTTGTACATGGAGTAGTCCTCGAACTGCCAACATGTATCCCATTACACATTTTCATAATAATAAAGCGTGAGTGATTACCAAATAGTTAATTAAAATAACATTAGAATTAAAAAAACGTAACACTTAATTTATCTATGAAATATTATTTCTGTTTATTTATAAAGTTTTTCTATAACAGGACAATGACAGCAATATGCTTCGTCTGCAATCTACCAATTTTATCTCACCAAGTGGGACTCGTATGGGCCGGAGGAAATGGATGGGACGAGCTGACACGTTCCAATTTAGAAGAGACCACACTACGACAGCGCCTAGGCAACCGACGAGATTCTGCTGCCCAGGTGTGTTGCCTTTCACCGCCGGAACCCGACGTTGCAGATCAACAAAGAGGTAAAAAAATTATATTAATGTAGATTTAAAATTTTAAGTTACTTTAACACTTTTTAAGAAATACATGTATTAAAATAATAAAAAGTATTTACCCAGATATTTTTTTAGGTGGACCTCGCCGCCGACGATCTTCTCTAGCTCAATTGACAGATATACTTCGCGAATGGGGCGGAGGTGGAAGCAGTGCACCAAGACGTCAAAGAGCCCCTTTATCCAGACGCGAAACTTTAGCAGATCTGGCCCGATCTCTCCCGTGGGCCCGACATGAACCACCTGTACGTCGCCGACGTGATTCTTCAGCTGATTCTGGTATTAAATCTTCAGCCTCAAGGCGACGTGATTCAAAGGCTGCCGTACCTCAAGATTTTAAATCTGAATTTTCATCATATTTAGAGCGCAAAGATTCTACAACAATTATGCCATCTAGACGAGAAGAACGACGTGTTAAAAGACGCGGCTCTGGTGATGGTAAAGAACGTCGAGATTCAGTTGATGGTCACCGATATCGACGAGATTCAGTAGTGGCTCCACCACCACGAGTAGTTGCCACTCACAAAAAGAGAAGAGCCTCTCCACCAACTCCAGCTCCCCCATCTTTTATAGAGGCATCCTCAGATCCAGGTCCGACATCACATCCACCAGCTGTAACTGTAGTGACTGTACATGAACCGAGCCGATCAGATGGAGAATGCCCTGCAATGACTATGCCAACTATAATAACATCAGCAGTTACTCCTTCACCTACATCACCTACTATACCAACCACTACTGCTACCCAAGCGACACAAGCTTGTCAATCTTCTCAAGCAACACCAGTAACTCCTGGAGGAAAAACACCGCCGAATTTGGGTGGCCGAAGAGATTCAACAACACAATGTGGTCGGGCAAGAAGAGACTCACGGGCAACTGCTAGTCCAGAGCGTAGATTAGGAAGATTACAAAGACAAGCGACCGCTTTTGATGATCCAACTGGTCCTCCTGGGGCACGACGAAGGGATTCTGGCCCTTCATTAGATCCAGAAGATGCTGCAAAAGCTAGGCGAGACTCTTTAAGTCCAGATTCAGCAGCGCGTCCACGTCGTGAAAGAAATCAGCTAAGTCCAGATAGGGCAGGTGGTGGCGAATTAAGTCCTTCTGCAGCTAGAAGACGTAGTCGTTTAAGGAGACAAGCCTCATGTGCTCGAGTAGGTCGAGCTCGAAGTCCAGAATCAAGTTCATGTTCTAGCCGAGATCCTAGCCCTTGCGCTCGGCCGCCTGAACGAACAATGTTTAGACGGCAATCGACTACAGAAGAAATACTAATAGCTCGTGGTTTTCGCCGCCAATCTACTACAGAAGAAATGATTCGTTGCCGTAATTTTCGGCGACAGAGTTCTCAGAGTGACGATGCTTGTATGCGTGCTCGTGGTCGTCGCGACTCATCCACACAAATACTAGACGGAACTATAGGTACTATGACTGTCGAAACTACCAGCACGTTCTTCGATTCCAGTACACAAACTGGTAAGTTAATCTAACTTTAATATCTTGTCTATAATATCATGCATAAAGTCGTAAAAAAAACTTATAATACTGTTTTTACATTCAATAAATTATTTATTGTGCCTTAACTAATCTAAGTACGAATTTTGTAAGTCTTAAGTTGACATTACTTTAAGATATCAGCGCTATACAACGGTGAAAATCTGAAATACGTTGAACAACAAAACCTCAACTCAAATTACAAATGGTTCTGCCACGTGCTTGCTCCCCGCCCATTTCCGCCAACCAATCGATTCGCGCGAAGTTTTGATATCTCTCTCCCCCGCGACTGCTTTATCGACGAGGAGGACTAGGGTGAGTTTCTTTATCATGAGAGGATCGTCAATAGTGGCGCCCTCGTAAGTTTAGGCGGGCAGCGATCGGCAGCCACTTTGAACTGGCAGCGAGTTCGCGCGGACCTCGGGAACGGGATGAGATGAGCGCGGTCGTCCGGCGCAGGCTCGCACGCCCGCGTCATCTGTTGCCCACTAACGCTGCCATGTTTACTAAAACGAAAGTGACGTGCACACAACGAATAACCTACAACGTTACGTTGACAGTCTAAAATCGCGAGTAAATATTTGCGGACCATTAGTCGAAATTGACTTCACAACGAATAGGTTTCCTAATTGTTGGACCTGCTAACGAAAATAAAGTTTTAAATCTATTTTAGAATTTTTGCCTACATTTTTTAATTTTATTATACAAGTGGTGTGATTTGGTACAGAGACTGTGAAGGTGTGACATTGGACAACAATATTACGAGAGTAATTTACTAGAGAAAACATACATTTAAAGAAATCGAAACACCAATTAGCTTAATAATAAAATAGCAAGTACTTATATTTATTTTTTATTAGAAACGTAATTTGAATAACAATATTATATACGTCGTAATACAAAAACAAAAATGGTAAGTTTAATCCTCTGAATCTAATATATATATATATATATATATATATATATATATATATATATATATATATATATATATATATTTGTTATTTCTATATTTTTGGAAATAAGAATTAAGGTGTTAACAAAACTAATAGTACTTATTAGAAAACTTGAAACAATATGTGTTTATACTCATGTAAATATAATACATAAACAACAGCTCGATTCTCTTTGATTTATTTTGGACTATCTTTAATTATTATATCAATATAATTATGTCAATATATCAAAGTCAATATAATAAAGTCTACAAAAATCAATTAAGCTTAGAAAGTTCGTATCTTTAGTCTTAAATAACCAATCTGCAATTTAACCATTTTATATTCAAGAGCTTTATATCTTACTAGATAAAATGTTAAATGCTAAAAGCTTTTACTATGTGAAGCAAAAGTGACTTAATATAATAAAGTTTAAACAGAACTTTATGTAAGTATTCAAAAGTTTCGTGTTCATTTGTACTAAATCGTAAACGTATGTATGTATTTAAAACTACAAACGATGTACTCATATGAATATTTTAAATTTCACTAAGCAACGTAAATATTATTTTGATAGTGTATTGTCGTCACGTTACCATTATTATGAGTGTCTACGATACGCTCTCGTGGAGAAAATTATCACGAAGTATTGTCACGTAAGTTCGCGCCTCTATTTATGAAGTAGTCAGATGGTATACATTCTAAGGCGAACATATCGAGTATATTGCAGCACATCTTATCTTTATATATATAATTCTTCTGTGAGTGTGTATGTCACTGAACTTCTCTCAAACGACTGGACCGATTTTGATGAAATTTTTTGTGTGTGTTCAAGGGGATCTGGGAATGGTTTAGATTCACAATTATTCAAATTGTGAATCTAAACCAATAATCTATATCAATAATCTAAATCACTAATTTTCATCAAAAAAATTATTAAAAAAAGTTTGAAATTTTCAAATTAAAGACGTGTAGACAGGACAACGTCTGTCGGGTCCGCTAGTATGTATATAAAACCATACAATTTTCCGTCCAATGTTATATAGAAGGTGGAAAATTATATTTCACAGTTTAAAACATTTTTAAACTTTTTATAGATTCAGGATATTACAGATTACATAAATAAATTACAGTTTTATAAATTTAGAACAAATTTTTTTTAAGTCTTACAAGTTATTAAAACGTAACTGCACACATTAAACAGTATTGAGTATTTTTATTTATTTGAAGATATATAAAGTATCTATACATAGTATACTCAAAATATATAAATATATATATATATATATATATATATATATATATATATATATATATATATATATATATTGAGTATACTCAAGTCGCTCCCGCTGTTTGTACTCTTAGATCTAAACTACCCAACGGATTTTAATGCAATCGCAATTTCAGATTTCAGCAATAGAAAGAGTGGTTCACGAGGAAGGTTTATATATATATAACATGTATATTAGAGTATAGAAAAGCTGAGAAATTTAAAGATATGTATTGTGAGCTTACATTGGCTACCTAGGAACGAACCCGAGCGAAGCAAGGGTGAGCCGCTAGTACTTATTAAATTTTCCTTTATAAAAAATATTTCAGCAGTTTAATCGTCTAATCGAACCGACAGCTTAATCGTTTCGAGTGACCTACCGATCTATTGAATGCTTTAATTAATCCATGTGGCTTCATAATTCGTGATTTTGATCATCGGGTGGTAAACGTAAACCATTATAACAGAACATCCCTTTGTAGTGTAGATATTTTTATATAAGTTTATTACCACACAGCAGCTTAGGATAACCACTACACCATTATTGTAAAGCCGCAAAAAAAAATGTTTAAAAAAATATAATCGAATAGACATTAAAACTATCTGTGATTTCAAAGCCACCCCATATGGTTCTACTGTTGTTATTTTCGCAGTACCAAAATCCAAATGACTATTAAAAATTATTTTATCCATGTGTCCTTCGCAAGCCTCGGAAACAATGAATATAGAGATTCCTATGAAAGGGGTTGCTTTTCGATTTGTGATAGAAGATAAAAGTAAAATGGCTAAACAAATTTTAAAAATCTTCTACTAGCCCTTAGAGGATTTGTTGTAGCAGTCTAATTGTAGAGTAGTAAAAAGCTTAGACACTGTAAAAACGCTGCCAACTAAAATTCTGTAAAATTTGACTTACTTCACAATGATATTAGTATTAACCAATAAAATATAATGAGCTTATATTTTCATTTGCAAAACGACTTACTTTGAAGTAAACATTATCGTATAAGATACAATAAAGATTGAAATACCTATTTACTGCTCATTTTACTGCCTGCGATCGCTTTAATTATAACCTGTAGGTACTATATTGCGTACTTTTAGTGCTACAATAAAATTTGTATGTAGTTTTTATGATGTTTATACTGCTAGGTTCTTTGTATAAAATTATGATAACATTTTGATGTTTAAGAACTGGTCATGATAAGCTAATGGAATTTTCAAAGAGCTAATTTATGTTAAAGCGAAAAGAAATGATTTCCCTTTATTATATACTATAAAAAATATATTATAACAACTGTGTTATAGTTATAAACCACATTATTATTTGAATAAAGAAATTGGCACATTAACAGTTTTAAATAATTTAACTAATCTTTTACAATACATATGATTTTATCTATTTTAAAACTAAACTTTTATAGGTTCTGAAGGCACTCCTCTCAGCGGTGCTAATATACCCTTTGGCGTCAAGCCAATGGAAAACGCTTTCACTTTCAGTGGCCAAGTAATTTGGCATACGCGCGTTTCACACATTTCACGTTTCAGATATTGTTCGCTAAAACATTCATATAAATGAGTTTATAATCCCTTAAGTCTAATAAATCACTCATCTGTAAATTCGGAATACTTAATTACTTTGAGTTTTAATATTTAGAATAGCCTCGTTTTAGAATTTAGACGAAATTAGATAATACTAGCATTGCCCGCGGCTCCGCCCGCGTTCAGATGACAAAAAAGCAAATTCTGAAGTTTTACATATTAGTATACTCTTACAATACAGTTTTTGTATTTTTTCTCCGAAATGAGATATTTTCCCGCGGAAAAAAGTATCCTATATGTTGACACGGATAACCAGCTATCACCATACCAAATTTCATTAAAATCTTAGTTAGGCTTAGTTACAATTTTATTATATGTATAGATTTTGTTATTATATTATTAGAACCCTTTCTTTAATATATACCTAAATATATCCTAAAAATACTTTCGCCAAAAAGTTAAAGCTAACATAATATACCTATGATGTTAGCTATTAAGTATTATTATTAAAAAGTAATACAGCCTTCAAGGAAATCGGTTATTCCATATTTAATCATGTGTCACTCGAAATTGGGTAGATGGATGTTATGGGAATACTTCTGCTGTATAGCCAAAACATGTTTCAGTTTGGCTCAATCGATCAATTAGATCCAAAAATATAGGGGAGCTAGCAGAATAGGAATACTCTGTACAGGCAAGTATGGGGAGGATCGTGTTAATTTATTATAAATAAGAACACAAGTCAGCCGAGGCCTTAAGCAAAATATACTAGACTAGCGACTCACCCTCGCTTCGCTCGGGTTCGTCCCTAGCTTGATTCCCCATGCAAATTTTTATCCTCATTTTCGCCCTCTTGAGGGAAGATTTTTGGGTTAAAAAGTATATTATGTCCTTCCCAGGATCTCAAACTATCTTCTTATCAAATTTCATCTAAATCGGTTAAGTAAATCCAGAGATTACCCCCTACAACATCACAAACTTTACCTCTTTATAATATTAGTATAGATAAAACTACAGCATTTTTTCAACGCTTTCATGAAAGCTCGTGTTATGCATTTCAAAAATAATCCAGATTACGTGACTATCGGATGTTCTACTGAGAGCCTTATGTAAACGTGCAGGATATCTTATACGTTTTAACTTTCCATAATATTCGAAGCTAACATTTAACACTATTACAAGTACTATTTTCTATAAATGGTCTATTAAATGACTTAACGCAGTCCGATTAATGCATATTTCTCTAAGTTTATTTCCTTACCTTCGTCGAGAATGTGCTTGATAAAATTAATTGGCGATTGCGCTATCTATACTGAAGATCTTTTGAAATATATTACCTGGAAGTGGAATTCATTGGCTCATTGCTGTTAAATCTTTTGAAAGTCTTATTAAATTACTTTACTGTATTCATTTTATATTATTATAATTTAAATTGTTTTAAATCTGACTTCTAATGACCCAGATCACCAAATTAGAAATTAAGACTTTCGAGAATTATATTATTTATACTATACATAATTAAAAGTGTTCAATCATATAATACGCTTTATGTCTAATACACATAAACATTTTGAATACTATTTGTTACAACAATTTTCAGTTAGCTCACGTATACGAGCGGCGAGCGCATAGATCGGGGAAATCTGGGTTATCATGTAGTATAAAGTAAAATAAAAACTAGCTTATTATTTATTTCTAATTAATAAGATAACATACAAATGTACGATTAAATAAAATGATATGCCTTCAACAAAATATTGTGCACTTTAACATCGTTACAATTTTGTGGCAATTATTAAAATAATGTTTTTTTAACACATGTACATTTCAACTCATAATTTTGTACGCTAAATTTAATGAACGTGAGCAATACCGTGAGCAGAACCCATTCACACCTTATTTATACCACCGATACAATTATTTAATAGATCAACCGTAATTTAAAAAGAAAAGCAAAGCATCAAATTACATTCATTTCTTTTTACAGAGCCGTCCCCATTGTACGACAACAATCACTACCACGAGGAATGTCTACGCTGCAACTCCTGCGGGTTAAACCTCACCGGGCCCAATCAGGTGAAATAAAAAAAACAATGTTTAAAATTTAATATAATACCAAAGATCATATAATATTATACTAGTACTGATGTTTCATCCCATACAAAGAAATGGGACTGCGCTAATTCGGGCTATTCTTCGAGCTATTTTTGTTAAACTTAATATAGTTAAACTATTTTATTTTATAATTATGTGCAAACTAAGGAATCGAAAATATTATAAAATTCAGTGAATTTAACCATTTTTAATCATGATAAACAATTCATTAAAAGTAAAAGCGCCACCTATGAATAAACGCTAGAAACCCATCATCTGATTGCTGATATTTCAATAAATCAGTAAAATTACGCGATTTAGGGGCGCTTTATTACTTTTCCCTTCACTTAGAATATTTTTTAAAACAATAATATATCTTTTTGGGATTTAATTTTTTATCTTTTGTTAATTTAGTACCACTTTAATAACAAATCGAAACATGTAATGTCATCTATAAACATTTTTTTGAACTAAGTTTTATTAGGTCGTGATGAAACCCCATGATAATAAAAAAATATAAAAAAACTTTAAAAATAAAACTTAGCACTACTCCATTTTTTGGATAGAGGAAAAACCTAGTGACATCTTTCTTTTCTCTATCTTTCGAATACTTTCTATATTATATTTATTTTTAATGTTCCTTTACTTTAGGAAATTAATAACCAGCTTTGTATATATATGTATATATTATCTTCCCGTTTTTCTTTTCGTGTAGTTAAAAAACTTAATCCCTTAGTACTTGCGAGCTCCCACATTCTCTGATGCTATGCGTTCTACGACCACTCTTCTAACGTAATTTGACTTAATGAGACAAAAACAAATGTCTGCTGTATAGACTAATTCAAGTATTGACTACCTGAGAAACTGAATTTCCAAACCGATGGAGCCCATTCTTTGATTTTAAAAGTATCGATATAAAATATCTATCAATTTCATATCAGAATTTAAATTTAGTTGCCAATTTAGTGACCTCTGCCTTAATCCGCATTTATTCTCTTTAAAAATAATCTTTGTCGGAAATTTTATTATTACTCTTACTATGTTGATTGGTCATCATGTAATCGAATCTGCTTCATCCAACGGACAGAAGTTTTGCTACACATCCACTAAGAAAGCAAATTTTGGAAATTCCAACCCTATTAAGATGAATAGATGTGAATCCTGTATAGGAAAGCACCGGCAAACTACCACCACTAGTTCTAAATAAAATAAAAAGCTTACTATGTGTTTTAAAAAAGGAAAAACTAGTTGTTCTAATTCCATGATATAAGCTTTTTATTTACAAAATGAATAACTTACCGCAAGCTCATGGTCAAATGCAAAATACTAACATAGACATTAATCATAAAGCCAGGCGGTTGGGTAAGAGAAGTACCTTTTATGCGCTGCCAGTAAAATTGTTCTTTGTCGATAAGGTAGAAAATTATAACAAATTTATAAAGTACGAAGGAAATTTATTTAAGACTGATATATTGGACGTCATAAGTAATTTATAGGTTTGTTCTTCCATTGTATCCTGTATAACTTTGAAAATATTCCGTAAATTGGCACATATATTTATCATATTGACAGACATTCTTAAATCCTACAAAATAAAAGCTTGTAAAAAGCTGGTCTTCTTTGAATTATCAAGATTAAAACTTAATATTTAGAACATAGTAAAATCTTTTGCTTATTATTCTTGGAATATAGTTTTATGTTGTTTATTCATGATATGATTCGTTTATGAATCGAAGTACATTTTAATGGTAAATATAATCAGGATCCAATTATGTGCCTAATAAATTGGCCTTTTTTATATATACACTAGCGACTTACTCTTGCTTAGCTCAGGTTCGTCCCTAGGTACGTTTTGACTTTTGACACTTAGTATGAAATAGGTTTTGTTTTCAAAAAAAATCGTAAATTTTTTCGGATGTTTTAATAGGTATTCTGCTATACAAATCCAACAAATCAAAAACCATGAAAATCGGTCCAGCAGTTCTCGAGTTATAAGTGTTGTAACAAACCCGACTTTGTTTTATATATTATATAAGATGTTTTACTGTACTAAAGTAATAATCACAGAAAGTTAAAGTATAATAGAAAGTATATATATAGTAGTAAACGTAACCACAAGAGAAACATTGAGTATCGACAATAATAAATTATTAATAAAACTAGTTTTTGAAGCCATATACATACATATATCTAAACAGATGTTAATTCTCTGTCTGGAACTTCTATCTATCAAAATTATAACAGGCTCTAAGATAATATTTGTTATTTCCAACTGCTAGACAGGCTTTTAATTAAGCCTGCTGTTTGACTTGCTCAAAGTTACCTATTTTAACCAAATTTGAAAACGTATTTACTGACCACTTTCTCTCAGATATTTTCTTTCATAGAATCTTTATTTTACTAAACATTTTTTTTATTCTAAGGTCTAAATGATGAAAAAGTCTTATATCGCTAGCTCAAATGATTTTTATTCACTAATAAAATTAAACACATGACTTCGTTTACAGAACACTTATATTAAATTGCAGCATTCCATGTATAATAATTTCATTTTCATTGCTCCGCGTCTTCACAATAACAGTTTTATTAGATTAGTCTAAAATATAATAAGAATACATTAACAAGAACTTATTACAATGAAAATATTATTTCATATTTCTAATAGCATGAAATTTTCATTAAATGTTGTTGTAGTATTTTCAATTTGCAGCCTAATTGACTAAATTAATGTTTGCATCTTTTAAAATTATATATTAATGTGTAACCAAAACCATGAAATGATATTGACCTAAATGTACGCAATAAACTAAGAACAGTAGATAATACACCTATCCTTGGACGAAATTAATCAAAGGAATCAAACGAAGCCCATTACAGCGATAGCCTGATTGAGAATCAATCAATGCGTCGAAACTTATGTCGAAACTTATAGTGCTAAACAATACCCTTGTTTTTCTACAAGTGCTTTGAAAGACAAGAAATTAAAATAAAGTTGTAATTATCAAAACAATTTATACTAATATTATAAAGAAGTAAGGTTTGTGAGTTTGTGAGTATTATGCATTTCCCAATGATAAAAAAATAAAATAAGGGGGGGGGGGGGGGGGGGGGGGGGGGGGGTGGTGGTAGCATCTCACTCTACTGAACCGATTTAGATGAAATTTGGTAAGAAGATAGTTTGAGACCCTGGGAAGGACATAGGATACTTTTTATATCGGAAATCATCCCTTAAGGGGGTGAGAATGGGGATGAATATAATGAGTATAGGGAATCAAGCTAGGGACGAACCCGAGCGAAGCGAGGGTGAGTCGCTAGTGATATAATAATATTATGTACGTACCTTAAAGTTAATACAAATATTCAGTCCTTCAACGATGGACAAATATAGGTAGTCAAGTTAGTAAAATTATTAATATAAGAATATGTCGTACTGAGAAAATTCAATAAAACTTTTCATGCGCGGGTGAAGTCTACCAGTACACAAAGGTAGACGTACCCGTACACGTTAAAAACTTTTTCTTTGATTTATCCGACTGCCGAAAGAGAGTAAAGCTTTTAGAGCACACATATACCTATCTTTGGCACGGTCTATAGCCTGAAGGAGTTGACGAATTTCAACGTATCAGATTTCGTAAATAAAACTATCTTTTCGGATTATTTCGCGGATTTATTTCGATTTTTGGTTCCCGACGTTTCGAATGCTTTACAGCAATCATGGTTACGGGAGAGATTTCGCCACCTTTATTGAAAATGTCAAATATTCGCATAAATCTAAGAAAGTATTATGTATCAGATTTCATTCCATGTCTTAATTATGGGAGTGATATAATTTATATTATTATAAAACGGTATGTATACATAAAAAATTGAACGGGGATTTGTAAAAAAATATTTTTCTATTATTATATTTTGCTAAAAGGCAGTGGTAGCCCAGTGGTAACGCGCTTGCTTGGGAAACCGAGTGAAGCGGGTTCAAATCCCGGGTCTCGCACCACTGATATTTTCATGTGCGAATCATTTCTAACATGATTACCACTTGCCTTACGGTGAAGAAAAAACATCGTGAGGAAACCTGCATGTCTGAGAGAACTTAGCAAGTTTTCGAAAGACATGTGAAGTCCGCCAACCCGCACTTGGCCAGCGTGGTGGACTATGGCCTGATCCCCCTCGTATTGAAGGGAGGCCCGTGCCCAGCAGTGGGACGTTAAAAAGGGCTGAATACATATTTTGCTATATGTGGATAAAAAATGAGAGCTAGTAAGATGCCGATTCCAAAAATATTTTATTTATAAGACTTTTGTACTGTTTTTCCACAATCTACGAGACTAATAAATAAAATCCATATAAAATAAAAAATAAAATAATATAAAAAAATAACTGTAAAAAGTAAGTATCAATTGGATAAAAGTAAAAAAAACAGAATCTTTGAAATTTTTTCTATTGAACGAAGTAATTCAGATCGTGTTCTGAATTTATAATTTTTATAGCTTAAGTCTAGTAAATATTTTCATATTAGTTTTATCCCGCGGCTCCGCATGCGTAGTTCAATTATGTACTACTTAGTATATATTTAAAACTTAAAGCCTTTATATAACTCTGATATATAAGCAATGCTACTGTAAAGTTCTATCAAAATCCGTTCAGTAGTTTTTGCGCGAAAGAGAACAAAACAACCATCCATCCACCTAACCTCACAAAATTTCGCGTTTATAATATTAGTAGGATTACATACAAACATTAATAATTGTACTTAGTAGTAGCTAAATAGATATTAATTTGTAACTGTTACCTACCAAATTAATTTACTACACATGTATTAATTTTCTACATATATATTTAATAAATTAATAAGTATTTCTGCATATATTTTTATGATCTACGGGTTTGAATGAAATTCGAAATTAAGATTCATTTTGTTGAATATCGCAAAAGGCTAAAACGACGTATACCGAAGTAGTATCATTTCAAAGTAATCAAAAGAGACTCGTGAACCACGTAATTATAATGCGAGCTTTAATATCGGAATATTATATTTAATTCTTTAATATCCGAATATTGCAATTACTATTGTGCCGAAGAGGTAAGTTGGCCTATAAAAAAGTAAATAATTTTAAATCTAAAAATTTTTTTACATTATTTAGCAAAAAATAAACAAATTGAGTAATCATCTTCACTTATTTACAGTAATGCTTTACGATGACTGCTCCAGCATTAAGAAAATTGTGTTAAAAGCTGCGCCAGAAACGGCGCCTGCCTAATGGATGTCTTAATATTTCCGTAAACGAAATACGTATTGACGTCCAATTGCAGTTAAATGTCCTGTGGGCACTTTTTAAATATCATCCTTATTTTGTAAAGCAATTTTTGAAGCACCATTTTTTTCGAACGACTTTCTCAAAAAAGAGGAGGTTCTCAATTCGGCTGTATATATTTTTTATGTTTGTTACCTCAGAACTCCGTCATTTATTAACCGATTTCGACAATTTTTGTTTTGTTTGCAAGTATATACTTCCAGATTGGTCCCATTTAAATTTCAAAAAAAAAATACCACCTCTAAGGGTGGAAAAATAGCTAATGATGAATTTAACCTACTTCTAATTGTCATATTGACTTGAAACTTTGCAAGTGTTTCTATTTCCGTTGATAGTACAGTGGTTCGGTATTGTTGACCTGATCTGATGGTAAGGCCAGAAGGTAGATAGGTGGAACTCTTCAACGACTAATAGTAGATACTTTGAGTTTGGGCTTATTTTGTTTGATTTGACAAGCCTAACGTTAGGATTCTTACTTTGCAACTACTGTCTACACTAAAAAGGGAATAATAAAAACTTTTTAACAAAAAAAATATCAACTATAGAAAATCAACCATAATTCATTAAATTTTATCGATATTGACGTTCTCTATTCAAAGTTAAATAGTTAGCTTATAAAATCTAAAATAATTTGAAATGGGCCCATAGATTCAGAGATTTGCACGTACAGACAAATAAATTTTTCATCTTTACATTATGTAAGTACTCGTATAATATTGAAGAAGCTTATCTAACATCATGCTATATGTTTTAACAGTGAAGTAATCCATACATACAATAAAATTCTAACTAATCCGAATCTGTACAATCAATATTTTTTGGAAAAACTTATTGAAACAAACATTATTTTCGAAACAGAAGCCAAATCTATAGTTTTTAGAATTTCTGTCTGTCTGTCTGTCTGTTACCACATCACAGGAAAACCACTGGAGGGATTTTGATTAAATTTGGTGTAGTGATAGCTGTGTATCCGGGTCAACATATAGGATACTTTTACCGCAGGAAAATATCTCATTTCTGAGAAAAAATACAAAAACTGCTTTGTAAGAGTATGTACACTAATATGTAAAACTTAAGAATTTGGTTTTTGGCCATCTGAACGCGGGCGGAGCCGCGGGCAATGCTAGTTATATATAAATAAAATGTGCGTGGCTTCGGGGGTAATAGAAAGTCAATAAATTTTGGCTTTTTGAAGTCCTTCTCTATATAAACTTTAACTATGCCAAAGCTCATACTCCTCCGTACATGCAATATGCTTAAAAAGGGGTTCAAAGTTTTCTTAATATATAGACATGTATAAAAATTTTATCCATCGTATTTTTTATCACACTCGTTAATGTAAATAATAGTAGCTTTAATTTTATAGCAGAGTTTATAGTGCAGAACAAAAAAAAAATAATTTTTAATTGTGTTTATATGACTGTTTTTAATTCAAAGTAATCTTTGAATTAAAAACAGTCATATAAACACATTTCTTATTAGACTTACAAGGTTAGTTATATTGCCTTAATGCAGTTAAGTTAAAGTAAACAAAAAATCTCACTACTTTACGTACTTACCACCGACCACCATAAAATTTATATATGTACGAAGTTGGAATGGTTAAAGTTGTTACCTATTTAGAGTATTATGTCTATTTTTCTTAAGACGAGGGTTGACTGTATATCTATTTCAATGATCCTTTTGTTTATCGAACTTCTTACAGATAATATTTAGTAAAACGTTTGTCCCAAATTATATATACATATTGAATTTTATTCACCACGACACAGTTATTGGCTTCAATAGCTTTGTCTTGGAATTAAATACATAGTTTTTTAAGCCAGAATCAAACAACATTATGATATAACGAAGGATGATAAATATGATATAAGAAACAAAATACAATTGCGTAGCAACAAGAAACTCTACAAATTATTTTGAGATAAATTGGCTTTAAATGAAATACTTCATAGTAATTTCACTCATCACGAGTACATACATACATATGTACTCGTAGTTTAAATATCATTATTAACAATCTATTTGCTATCACAGCTACTAATAATATTATTAATATTCAGACATTTTGTTTCAATAATATGATTTTATCGTCCTTTTTCCTTAAGATATTTTCCTTTAAATCACTCTGTACTCTAAATGCTAAGACACGTTGGAAAAATAAATTTAAGACGCCGCAACTCGGTTCAAAGGACTGCATCAAATTTCCTTTCACGTAAACAAAAGAGTTTAAATCTTCACTTTCTTCGCAAAGCTGTGGGGTTTTGCAGGGATTCCTTTCTTTTGAATTAAACTTGTATAAAGTTTATTAAGCATGTCAGGAGGAGCACAAGTGCTCTTAAGTTGTTTGGATTTCATCTTTCTGAATTTTTTTATTCTTGCTCGTGATAATATAGGTAAATAATACGAGTATATTAATATATTAAGTTCATTATAAACTTTAAGTTACTTTTTAGAAACAAATTATTATTATAGTTTGTTATTTATTTCCCCATTTTACCTTTCTACAAAATATAAGGATTTTTTTATCTTTTGAATATAGATGGGTATATAGGCATTAAAGTTACAAATGCACATGACAAACAAAATATATTGTTGCGTAGTTGCGAATGTAGTACATGATACAACAAAATCAATCATTCTTGGTAGGTAATGTTTATATCCTGTATTACATATACAGTATTACATATACAGTATTATATATACAATATACCCATGCAAAATTCTTTTTAGACAGAAATCGTCATATCACTAATAGACCATTATCAAAATATCTATTACACTACTTATCGAGTGAATAGTACAAGTTCGGTGTAAGTAAAGGTTTAAGCTCAGAACTCCACCTCAGCGATATTCATTTTTAATTAATTGACTATATATCTTCATCAACAGGAATCGATTATTATACATCTTGAACCTATATATATTTTTGATAATTTCTTTAAATCCAAAATTATAAGAATTAGGGACACAGAACATGGGTGAGTTCCCAAATCAAATTCTCTTTCTATGCCTATAAAGCACGTTTCGTCCAGTGTTGGTTTCATTCGTATTGTCCTACTAGCGACTTAAACTCATTCTACTCAGATGCATCCCTAGTTATTATTGCAGTATCCTATGTGCTACTCCAAGTCATAGTCCATCATTTTACTACATCCAAATTCAGTTGTTTCAGCGTTAGGACTTAACAAACATATAAACGCGGACATACAATCATTTATATTTATAATAGTAGCTCGATTACTAATTAGCTTTTTTTTAATTAGAAACGTGCACGCCGTTTCAAGAACCAGATCCTGTGCGACCTGCACTTCGCAGACGTGGCGCTGATGGAGTGCAGCGACTTCATGCAGCAACTACGCAGCTTTAAACCCCAGTCCCTGGGCTGCGCTGTTGCGAGGCGCAAGTCTTCCACCACACTCATCTTCCCTCTACCACCACAAGCTTGCTCAGGTATGCTATTAAATTATACATTATTATTATTACATATGTAGTATGAATGTATATTGTATGTATGTGTGTGTATGTATGTATGTCATATATGTATGGAAAACAAAAACAGACCTATTTTGATTCGAACTCACTTCACTTGGTATCCCAAGCAATCGCGTTATCACTAGGCGACCACTGCCTTTTAGTACCTTATTAGTTAAAAGTAATTAAATTGTACCTTTTTAAGATTCTAATGGGCTCAAATTTATGATTCAAGTTTTCTCAATGAAATTGTTAACGAAATGTAAACGATATTTTTATTAAACAAAAACATTTACAACGCTCTACTGTTACCGTAGACTTGCAATATACTTTGCTCAGATTAGTTCAATCCTTGAATGAGGGGTTGTTGAGTAATTTTGCGTACATTTTATATGAAGCAATTCGTATATTACAGCAAAGAGTCCTGGAATTCGGTGAATTTTGTCCTTTACAAAATCAGGGTGCTTTAAATAAATCCGTAGGCTAAAGTTATATGTATCATTATACATATATAGTTCATGTTATATGTATTCTTATGTGCATATAATTATTATACTATAAAAACAGTAAACAAATATTAACAAACTGAATGTAATATGAATTTATGTATATACAATATCTATATCTTATGTTATAGAGTACAGAATACATTTATCTACAGATTAACTAAGCTATCAACACTTTAATGGTAACGTAGCAGATTATACAATTTCCATTTTGCTTATCTGTTGTAATTGAATGAAGTTCATTTTTCGAGTTTATCTGCCCTAAATTAAAAGTATAGCGTGAACTTTCTTAATATGTGTGATAATATAACTACCTAATAGATATCGGACAACTATTATTAATGAATGAACGAAAGTTTTTTTATGAGTAAGGCTTGAAAGATTTGATTGAAATTTAATACACTGGTTTTATATGATACAGTGGCCTGAAGTAACACAGGGCTACTGTTAGTTATAATATTTAAATCAACGGACGTACCCGAGCTAGGGTAAGACACTAGTTATAATATAATTAAAAAATAAAGAGTAAGCTTTAAAAATAACTAAAATGCCGTTAAGCAATTGATTATACTCGTACTCAAATGATTATAAATGACAAATATTGGTAGGCGAATTGTAAGATATTAAGGTAAGTTCCAGTTTCTCGCTTAATTGACGCAATAACGTAACGTCAAGCTTTCGGCACAGGACTTTTAGATAGCCCCGAAACTCGCTCAGCGAAATAATTATAACAATTTTAGTAACATCCAAATGGAGATTTGATTTGGCGCTTACGGCGAAATAAGCGTCCTTAGAAGATAACTCAAAATTAGAAATTGTCCCAATGCCTTATATTTATTATTCCATTTTTATATATAATTAAAATTAATATCAATGTCTGTATTTGCAAGATAGCGACTCCATATGGAACTCTTATTGTGCAAATACGATTCCAAACACACAAAAAACCTTTAAAATTTAGTTATCTATAAACAATTTCAACAGAACTTGCACTGGTTATACATAAGTTTCAATTATATTATTGGCTCATAAGGTACATTATATCCGGAAAATGGCAATGTTTTTTCTATAAAAAGAAATAAAATTGGTAATCTTTTTGTAGAGGTTGTAATGAGAGCCGAAGAGAGCGAGGACGGATCGTATAAAAATAAAGAAAAATACTCATAGCAACTCGTTTGATAACTTTAAAAATTTAATTAATTTCAATGCTAATAAAATTGCGCTAGTGGGCTTTAAAAGTAATGACTTATGTCATAAATTATAGAACTTGAAAAATAAAGTTTATTATTAAAAGGTAAATATTATTATAGCCAACAATATTTTAAGATATGAATATCTAATAGGTAAACATGATTAGGTATGAACTCTAATATACATAGTTAAAATATTATACACCAATTTGTGATGTATGACGTATCGAAATATTTGCTTTGCTAATATCCTTTACTAATTTATTCTAAGTTTATTTTTCATTAAAACAATATCGGATATCACAACTCATATGATATCAAAGCTTATACAATTTACAACTACGTAATCAAATAGATCTGGACGATTAAAAAACAGTAATTTCATAATATTTTAAATAAACAAGGATTTTGACTCATCCAAGATAGATAAATCTTCAAACCTGCAACTGTTGTTTTCGATCTATTGTTAGATTCGGCTAACTATACTCAAGCTCAGATTTCTATTCATGTACAGACTGCATTATACCCGCCTCTGTCGGCCAGTCAATAACTGTCAAACCAAAATGGAGGAAACATGTTCAAAGCCTTTGTTTTATTATGGCATGTCAAGTATTATACGTTGGATTGATGTCAACTGTGATTGTCTTTGCCTAGTGTTTAGTGACAAATAGAATAGTAAGCACTTTATAGCTATCCAATCTATTAATTGAAACGATTTTGTTATCTTAATTTATATTTTACCAGCAGAACCCGCGGCTTCGCTCGCACTAAAACTCCAAAAAATCGCTAAAAAGGTAGTTTCATACAAACTTTCATCCCCTATTTTACCCCCTTATGGGATGAATTTCGAAAAATGCTAAACACGCATTTATTTAATTTTATTGAAGAGCATTAACAAAAAGTTTTAAGTAATTCTGATCATAAATATTTTTTTGGATTGTATTATAAAGTGTTTTCCCGTGGGAATTGCGTAAACTACGGCTGTAAAAAATAGCCTATGTCACTCTCCAGTCCTCCAACTATCTCCACACAAAAAATCACGCCAATCCATGACTCCGTTTTCACGTGAAAGAAGGACAAATAAACAAACACACAAACAAACACACTTTGACATTTATAATATTAAGCATGGAAGTATGGATGTACATTATCAGTTTACTATTTTTAATACTTAAATGAAATTTTATCTGATTGTTAAAGAGATTTATGATAAATTCAATATAAAAGCCAGAATCTAAATACAACTACTAGTATAGTATTATATGATCTGTGACATAAGTTACGTAAAAAACCGCGATTCTTTCGTAATAATACGCGTAATTTTATTTTTATAAGGAAATAACTTTTACTTTTATTTAAATTCAAATAAAATACTTTGTAAAGAAAAGTTAATCTTAAATAAATATCTATTAAAGGTTTGTACATCAAATATTCATGATCCTTCATCGTTCAAACGTTGACAATAGGTGGTTACGGAATCGCCATCCATGAAATGAAATGCGAGGTAACTTAATTTCCCCTTGTTTCCCGTTTAGATCACAATCCACAGAAAAATAGAAACTTTTTCTACTCACCCGCGTCAAAGCCAGAACTTTGAGATACCTTTATAAAATATTAAAGCCACTTTGGCAAAGGACCCCCGTCAGTTGTAGTCTAGCGTAAAACTTTTATGAAATAATTGAATAGAGTATACTCGTGTATGTTACGATCAGTAATAATATATTACATGTGATTTCTCTGTATATTTTGTGAGAGAATGACTTTAGATAGCCTATTCATATTTTAAAACTTATAAAAACGTAGCGTTCAAAAGACATAGAAATGCACTAAATAATAATTTCTTTATACATATATAATTTGTTCCTTTCACCTATACTAATATTATAAAGAAGCAGAGTTTATTTGTTTGTTAGAACGTGCTATTCTCAGGAACTACTAATCCGATTTGAAAAATTCTTTTTGCATCGGACAGACCGTTTATTGAGGAAGGCTATAGGCTATATATATCATACCTATAGTATTTAGTCTATCTATTCAATACTAGCCGTTAAAACGTACCTAGGCACGAACTCTAGCGAAGCTAGGGTGAGTCGCTAGTCTATTATATATCTATTAATAAAATTTATATAAATTGTCTATCTCGATGAGACTGATTGTTTAGTGCCCATGTGAGAGTTGATCTGTTTAATCATCCGATCCAACCGCACACTGATTAGATGCACACAAGAATAGCACTATCTTAAATTATAACATACATAATAACTTATTTTTCACTAGCTAAAACAATATGCATATATGTACATCTTACTACGCAAATATGAATCGACTTTAATAACAATATTTTTATTCAAATAATTCTCCAATTTTTATTCCATAAATTCATGCAATATCAAAAAATTCACAAAATTTACTTACTGCGCAAAGTTTCTGAGCATTTTTCGAATAACAAATTATTTTCATCGTCCGTGAATTTAGTTTTGCAAAACATCAAAGGATTTTATTTACACCACGTACAAAGCTCTATTTGCTTCATGCTTATGGATGTAAATAAATATTCGGAGTACGGCAAATACATATTTTTGAACATACCAAAACCACAAAATTTATTATTATTATTTTTTTAAATATAGTTAAAAGTTTAAACTTATTTACTATTATTGAAATATCTTATTTTATTTGAATATATTTTATATTTATTACAATAATGCTAAAAATCAGTCATAACGGAAGTTCAGTAGATTTGTAGGAAATTGAAGAGCATTTTCAAAGAGCGTCAATAAAATTGCACGTGGCTCCTTTCCGGATATGGAGCCCCTGCTCGACTAGAAAGTATAAGAAAACCTTATAAATAGAAATCTTGTATCCATATAATAAATTTAAGCTTTGTATAATGCGAAAGCGAGTGATATATAGATGAATATTTGTTACATTTTTACATCAAAATTACTTAAAGGATTTTGTTGAACACATAAACATACATAAAAGTAACACATATGCTATATATAATTTATTAAGATATACCTAGTAATAAATGAGCTATGTGGGTGGATCCGTGGGATGAGAATAGTATTGACCGCACATTGTCATATCTTGATAGTAATAACATCGAAGTTCGAAATTTTATTCAAGTTGAAAACATTATGATAATCTTAACAAGTGCAAGACGATTAATATGGATCTAATCCATCAAAATCATTATTGAGAAAGACATACCAAGTTTCTCGAGAATTCTCGAGTAAAAAGACTGTTCCTACAATCTATTTTGATTTACGAGTAATATGGT